GATGGGGAGTGGTTGTGGGGAGGGTGGTGGCCGTGCGCCGTCGCGCTGATGCGGAGCGTCGCGGCGCAGCTGCGGCAACCCTGGTTGGCGAAAAGGGGGTGAAGGCACTCGCGCACCGGCGCCGCGAGCGCGCGGGGGCGGGTCGACACGCGCAGCGGCCGCCCTGCCCGTGCGCCGCGGCCGAGCCTCTGCCGCACATGGCGCAGTGGCAGCGCTCCCAGCGCCCCCACCTGCGACAGCTGCAGGCCGCAGTGCTCCAGGAAGAAGCTGGGCAGCCACGCCAGCAGCCCGTAGAACCCAAACGCGCCCGCGTACTGCGTGATGGCGATGGCCCACACCTCCTTGCGCCGCAGCAGCGGCCAGATGCCCACGTTTGGGTCATGGGGCGGCGGCTGCGCCTGCTGCTGCTGCTGCTGCTGCTGCTGCTGCTGCTGCTGCTGCTGCTGCTGCTCCTGCTCCTGCTGCCGCTGCTGTTGCTCCTGCTGGTCCTGCTGCAGCCAGTCCTGCTGCTGCTGGTGATGCAGCACCTGTGTGCCCCCGGGCACCCCGCCGCTTGAACTGCTTTCAAAGCTCGCGGATCCGATGCCGCGGTGCATGCGCAGCCAGGGTGCAACCCAGAGCACCGCCAGCGCCGAAAAGCAGTAGAAGGGCGCCGCCCAGCCGCCCATCTGAGCGGGGCCGGGCGCGAGGGGCGAGGCGCGAGCGGCGGGGGCGCGCGCTGTGACCGCAGACCCAGGTGCAGGCGGGGCGGTCGACGCCAGGGAAGCTCAGGCGGCCGCCAAGGAGGGGGCCCCGGGGCCGAGGGCCCCACAGGCGCCACGGCGTGCGTGTGTATATCGCGCTACCGCCGCGCGCACCTGAATGAGCGCCGGACTGAACCCAAACGCCAGCGCCGTGCCGCAGTGCGCGAGCGCCATGATGCCGCCGATCGACGCGGAGCGCCGCCGCGCCGGGACGCCCCTCGCAAGCAGCGAGTGTATGGCCGGGAACGCGACGCCCTGCGCGAGCCCCAGCCCCGCGCGCACGGCCAGCAGCGCGCCCTCCCCCGCGCCGGCGGCCCAGGGCGTAAGCGCGGCCATAAGGGACCAAGCGGCGACGCCGCCGGCGAGGACGGCGGAGCCGCCGTAGCGGTCGCTGAGGCGGCCGCCCCAGATCTGGCTGCGGGGTTCGGGCGAGGGGGTCGGCGCCGGCCGTGGGTGCACAGGTTTGCACGGGTCAACGGCACGCACAGCAGCTCACAGGTCTCCTTCTTATTTCTGTGGGTCGCCTTCGCATTCTCCCGCCGCTGCTCCCTGAACACACGCATCGTGCCACCAGGCGCACGCCCCCGCCGCCTCGGTGCACCCGCAGGCCGTGCCGGCGCCCCTCTCTCGCCTTTCCTGCCTGGCACATGCGCGCACGCATGCGAGTGCATGCGAGCGCATGCAGGTGCATGCGGGTGCATGCAAGCGCACATGCACGCGCAGCGCTCACGTGATGCCATAGCCCGCGAAGAACGCAGACAGCACTGTGCCGCAGAACTTCTTGTCCCAATCAAACTGCTCCGCCATGGGCACGATGGCTGTTGATATGCTGGTGCGCGTCGCATACATCAGCAGCGCGGACCCGGCGCAGACCGCCACCACGCTCCGCCACCGGGCGCGCGCGGCGGCGGCCTCGGCCGCGGAATGCTCGACGGCGGCGGCGGCGGCGGCGGCCGTGGCGGAGGGCGGGTCCGGGGCCTCTGGGCAGGCGCCGCCTGTTGCGTGCTGTGCTGCACAGCTGTGCAGCTGCCGCTGGTGCTGATGCTGCCGGTGATGCTGCCTCGACTGCTGGTGTTGGTGCTGCTGGTTGTCGTGCGGCAGCACGGCCGCTTCGAGCGGCACAGTGGTGCCGCTCACGGGCACACCCGTGCACACCGCCACGTCAGCGGGCACGGAAATGGGCGCTGTGTGCGGGTGAGGCAGCTGCACGCTGGCGGGTGCGCCGTCCTGACAGCACCCGCCTGGGGACGCCTTGGCAGCCGCATGGCTCAGCCGGCTGCCTAAGGGCGGCTGGCTCGCGTGGCGGCGGGCGGAAGCGTGCTGGCCGCAGGCTCCCCACTGAAAAGCAACGGTGGGGATCCCGCGCCCATCAGCCCCCCGCCGATGCCAGCGTGCAGACTGCATGCCTGACAGCGGCCAAGGCGCAGCAGGACGGCCCCAGGCGGCTCGGCTTTCGCCCAAACTGCAAGCTGCACGTTCACCAGCAGCACTGGCGGGAAGTGCCGCCGCCAACAGGCGCCCCCCGGCCAGGCGTTGCACGGTACGGCTGTGACGCAGCAGAATGCACATTGTGTCCATGACGACAATGAACGCACTGGGTTGTAATGTGCCGCTGCGGTCTAGCCATGCCGTTCATCATAACAAGGCACACATATTTGATGTACTGCTACAGCATGGCCCTCAAAAAACGCGTTTGAAAGCAATTGGCTGCTCACCACGCCGTCTTAGTGCGTGGATCACGTCGTCTACAGTAGGTGTTGTCCAAGGTAGCCGGCCGGGGAACCGAAGATGCAGAGAGCGCTATATATCAGCAATGGAGTCTCAACACAGTGAACTGGGCGTCCAGATCCATAAAAATCTTGGGGTGGCCGCGGTCAGACCATCCAAACTGGCCCACATCATGCACCCTGGAGTACTGCAGCCAGGTCAGGAGCAGCCAACCTCACCCTCTGGACTTCGTTGTTCACAACAAGAAACATGGAAACCGCTGCATTTCCGGCTTCTTCACCCACAACCCACGCTGGAGCTGAACTTGGAGCTGAGCAGCCTCTCACTGGTCCACACTTGCCAGTACGGTGCGGTCAATACGTGTTCTTTGTCCCGGACCTCTTGCGACACCACTTTGATATGACATAGAGCTCTCATACTGCCGCGTGTCATCACACTCAGATCGTACCCACCCCGACCAGGCCTTGAAAGGGCTACTTGGGCCCTTTCTCGCCAGTTGTTTGCTCATAATAGTCGGCATATCGCCACACAGGCGCTGTTTCGCGGCCCATCGCCCCTGCTTACCTTTGGGGTGTGGGTTCGCCGTTGCGCCGAGAGCTGCAGCAAGAGGGTAGCCGGGCTCCAAGGCCGGCTATACATCCAGGTGAGTGACTAGTTGTGTCCTGCAGCAGTCGCGCGACGCCGGCCGGGGTGCCCGGGTGTGACGTGCACGCTGCCTTGTGCGGTGCCTCCCCGCCCGCGCGGTGCAACTGGGCGGCCTTGCGCCCGCCCACGGGCGTAACCACGCACGCGCCCACCTCGCCGCCACCGCCGCAGGCGTGCGCCTGCCGTCGCGCCCCCTGGCGCCGGAGGCGCGGGGCCGGCCCCGCGCTCTCAACTTCTTGCAGTGCCGCTGACGCCTCAGCGCCGCGGCCGCGCCGGCCAGCCGCCGCCATGCAGAGCACCACGGGCACCAAGGTGGTGTCGTACTTCCACGATGACGAGAGCGGCATATTCATGTACAACCCCGCACACCCCTGGCGGCCGCACCGCTCCACGCTGGTGCACAGCCTGGTGCAGGGGTACGAGCTGGAGGACAAGATGGTGGTGCACCGCCCACGGGCGCGGTCCTTTGAGGAGCTCACCATGTTCCACGCCGACGGTGCGCTCCCGGGGGGGGGTGTCAGGTTCAAAGGCGCGGCGGCGGCAGCTGCTGGTACTGCCGCCGACGTCGCTGCAGCACGCAGCAGCAGCAGGCCGCAGCAGCCAAGAAAGCTGCGCAGGCAGCGCAGCAGCAGCCGCAGAAGCAGCAGCAGCAGCAGCCGCAGCACGATCATTGGCGGCAGCAGCAACAGCAGCCGTGGCAGCAGCAGGGGGGGCTTGGAGACGGGCCACCACCCAGGGCCCCGGCTTGGGGCCTGGCGGCGAGCTTGCTGCACCACTCTGGCCTCATCAGCTCAGCGGCGGCCGCTGCGCAGCGGTCGCGGCCTGGAGCATACCGGAGGCTGCTGGGCGCGGCGGGGGACCGTCCTCGCAGCAGCCAAGCCAGTGTGGCAGCACCCCTGCGTACCAACCAACACCCGTCCCCCGCCCTGCCCTACAAACACGCACCACGGCGCCCCGTCGACGCAGACTACATCAGCTTCATCCGCGCGGCCACGCCCAACCACAGCCAGGAGTACATGCAGCAGCTCAAGCGCTTCAACATGGGCGCCCCAGGGGAGAGCGACTGCCCCGTGTTTGACGGCATGTACGAGTACTTTGCGGTGAGGCGGGGGCGGGGGTCAAGGGCAGCGTTTTTGGGGGGAACAAGGTTGGTGATGTGCGTCTGGGGGCGTCGCAAGGCAGCGGGGCTGCGGCATGTCAGGCTGGGGTGCGAAGCGACTGGGGCCGCTGCCCGGGTTGTGCCACTGTCAGGGGGCAGGTGGTGGTAGCGTCCGCCCGGCCAAGGTGTGAGCGCTCAGTGCACGCAAGGGTCTGGGAGGCCACCCACCAGCCCTACGGCCCCGAGGGGCCCCCTCTGCCTGCCTGAAGTGCAACCTTCACAGACGCCCCCC